GTGAAGATAAGGATTGGGGTGGTTGTGGTGTTGAGGGTTGCAGAGATATTTTGGTGTGGGGGCAGGGGTATTTTGGGCAATGTAATCCATTAGTCAACTTCCACTAAAAATGAGCAAAAGTCAAACCAGGAACTTAAAATCCGGACGGAGGGATTATAATTTAGCTCGTTGGTTAATGACTTAACCAAATGCTTAGGAGATTGGGTCTGTAAATCTCAATAGTGTAATTTTGGATAGGTCTGACAGGCCGGTTAAGACTCATTTGAAGTGAATTGTGGTTCAATACTCTAGACCGGACCAATTAGATCATCGGTTTGCCGGTTCACAGTCCGAACTGTCTGGTTTCAAAACTATGGTGTGTACTTGCCGGCTTGCCCATCTAAAAAATACAATAATTAGTTAGAATATGTGAGTGTCTCTCTGTGATTGTTGATAAGTACTTTTTAACTTATAAATTGCTTATAAGTCAAATATTTTTTAGTAAAAATAAAATGACCTAAATGATAAAATAGTCATTTATAAATATTCATGTGTGATGAGGGATTGTTTTGTAAATAATCTGGTCAAAATGGAAAAATGAAAAAAATGGCTTAAAATAAGTAGCTAAGAACTATTTTTTTTGGCTTATAAACAATTTATAAGTTAGCATGTAATCAGACAAGAACATGTCATCTGCTAACTTATAAGTTAAAAATTACTTATAAGCAATTTTGACTAACTTATAAGCATAGAGAAACACTCACTTGAACACAAAAAACACCACTATTTGGATCCAACCAACCTTCCTCAGCTCGAGCACATCACCCGGCCACCAAATCATCTCTTCCATCATCACCCTCAGAAATCATCATTGCCTTTCCTTGGAACCACCACACTCGAGAGTGCTTCTTTGGCGCACCTTGGGTGCATATCATGACCCTAGTTCTGAAAGGATGCATAGGAGAAAGAAAGATGTTGATGCATAAAAAATGTTTCTAAATAAGCAAAGAAAAGGTTTTTTTAATGCCCCAAAAAAGATAATATGAAGTGTTTTGTGAGTTTCGTAGAGAGAGTATGTCTTCTATGTTGTGAAAAATATACTCCCTCCGTCCCAAAATATTCACAACATTTGCTTTTTCAGTAGTCGCGGGAACTTTTGTTTATTTTGACGTTTTCATTGGTTATTTGATAAAATAAAATATTCTTGACACCTCTTATTTGGAAGAACTTTTCATGTAGTTTTTTGATATGTAAATTTTATTTTTTATTTCTATACTAATTTGTAAATAAAATGAATTGAAAAAACTTAATATTTTGCCTCGGTAATACAAATGTGGCAAATAATTTGGGAAGGAGGAAGTACATTAAGAGATACGGAGTACTATAATGCAGAAGACTTTTTAATGATTAAAAAGTGAGAAATGGAGAGTACTTCCTCCATCCACCATTTTTTTCTTATTTGATTCTCCATAGTCAATATTTTAATTTTGATCACAAATTATACTCCATCCGTCCCCAATTTGATTACAAATTGCGGGTTACGGAGTAAAATTTTTTACTTTTTGAAATCATTTTATTTACAAATTGGTATATCAAAAAGATATAAAAATTACATATTAAAAAACTACGTCAAAAGTTCTACAAAACAAGAGATGACAAAAATATTTTATTTTATCAAATACTTAATGAAATCGCGTAAACAAACAAAAGTTATAGAAAGGAGAGAGAAAAAAATTGTAATCTATTTAGGGACGGATCGGAGGGAGTATAAAAAATAGAATAAATTGTGATATACATTTTATTTCAATATGTTTATTATTAAAAAAATAGTTTTGAATCACTGAAATAGTGTAATACTTCGTGCGTACTATACATCTACACTAGTGTTAACCCCGTGCTTCGCACGGGCTTGTATGCATTCTATAAATATAATTTCATTTATTTTAGTTTTCTAATAGTGACATAATATGTGTTATTAGATGAATATTTTTTTAACTCTAAGATATACGGAGTTTCTTTTTTAAAAAAGATTCTATAAGTATTTTCTTTCAAAGTAGTAAAAGAGAAATGATTTATTGTTTTTAAAAATAATATAAATTAAACTCTATTTTTCAAAATATTGATAAAGTTACAAAATATTTTATATATATAATTTAATTGTGTAAACAAAACATGTTTTAAATTGGTGGAATATATATTTTACAATGATGATATATATGTTTATAAAGTTGTTAAAAATGACATTTTTTATACAAAGTATAATTAAAGTAATGTTTTTAATACTAAAATATACGTAGTAATATATATTTATTGAAGGTAATACAATAAAATGTGTTAAAAGATCTTTTTAAATAATTAAATGGACTAATGAATTTCATCCATGTCACTAATGAATGCACATGTGGCATGCCACATGTCAACACTTCAAGAAGTAAACCTTACATTACATATATATATAGGATAGGATATGCACAAATAAAAGTATTAAAATCAAATTTTTCCATTGTAGATCATGAAAAGTCAAAAGTTACTCGATTAATAAATAAGAAAAAGACTAAATTAAGAGTGAAACATGGAAAAAATATCAAAAGAGAAGTTTCATGTTTTTTATTTCTAAGATAGAAGTACAATGCCAATAATATCAATATATAGTATAAAAAATTATAGTAAAAACATGTCACTGTACAAAACGATGATGTCAGTACAAATTCCTATTTTGGGATAAAAATATGAAACACTAGCCTTACTTTGAAGATGAATGTTAAATATTACTTCTATTTGGATTGATTTATGTAATAAATTAAACATCAAAGTGGAGTATTTAAGTACAACAACTCACTTGAATCCCACAAGAGTAGAGTCTGAGGAGGGTGCGTGTATGCAGACCTTACATCTACTCGAAGTTAGAGATGTTGTTTCCAAACAAACCTCGTTCCAGTGTCAAAAGTTGCATCGATTGATTAACTGTCATGCTACTTTATTAATTTTAAAAAAACAAACAATCTAGAGGTTCATTTTATTTTATTCCATCACACACAAAGCAAAAATATAATGATTTTTTCCGCACCATTAGGCTAGCCGTAATGCATAGCACTGCATCTCGCGTGATTTTATGTGTCGCCTTCCAACATGGCATGAAGGATTGTGAACACTGCGCCGCTTCTGCGCGAGTGATTTGTGTGATCAACTCCGTGACCAAGACCACGAGCGCGAGAGACAGAAGCCGCTGTGTTAATATTTTTTTATTGCGGAGTACTATTTTGTTCTTTTTAGCAAAATTTTGGAATATGTTTTTTAGAGTCAATTTTTTTAGTTTTTTGTAGTTTTTTTTTAATTTAAGAGATGTTTATAAAATTTTATAATTTCTTTATATAAAAAATAGATAGAATTTAATTTGAATAGAAATATTTTAATTTACATAAGTATATTATTTAAGATATTTTCTTTTTTCGGGGTGCAATAATTTGTTATAATATAAAAAAGGAAAAAAATCAATAATGAAAAAAAAATAATAACGATAATAAAATGACAAAATAAATTAATATTTTTTTGTATTATTAATTTATAAATGATATAATTTAATTTGAATATAAAAACATACTCCCTCCGTCCCCCTGTATTTGTCCACTTTCATTTTTACACAACATCCAATGCACTTCTTTAATCCATTTTATCTTGTAATTTGTATATTAAAAAATTATAAAAAATTATATATTAATAATCTATATGTTAAGACAAATCAAACAAGATCACACATGACTATATTTAGTCTTACACATTGAGAGAATTTGATGAGTCAAAGTGCTTAGATGAACAGTTCCAAAAATCAAATGTGGACAAATACAGAGGGACGGAGGGAGTAATTATTTATATATAAAAATAAAAGTATAATCATTGTAGTGATGGTGAGGCATTACAAGTGTGAAGTGTGTGAGATGATGATGAGTACATTTAGTATTGATATGACCCTGAATAGCTCCATATTTGGAATGAGCGCTGGTGAGACACTACAGATAGCCTTATAGATAGGGCTGTCAACGGATAACCGAAAATCCGATTACCGTCTGTACCCGTATCCATTTAAAGAGGAAATATCCGCATTCGTTTTAAATGGATAATATCCGTATCCGATTAAGGATATTCGATTACTAAAGGGATACAGATTTGGTAATTGTATCCGATCCATTTAAAATCTGGTCCGTATATGCATCTGTCGAAATAACCGTTTATCCAAATATCCGATCTGTTATATATAGTTTATCCTAATTTTTTTAAGTTTATATTTTATTTCTCCATTGATATTTCAAAGTATAAGATATTTTTATATACAAAAATGTGTGCC